TGCACTCCAGCCTGGGCGACAGAGCGAGACTCCATCTCAAAAAAAAAAAAAAAAATTACCTTTGGGTATAAGTACAACCACTGTTATATAAAACATATGGAGGAGACAGACAATTAAAGTGGTCTTGGGAATTAGGGTGGGTATCTTGAGGAGGTACTGTCAAGAAAAGAGAGAAAGTAGAAGGGCATTCTCAGCCAAGGATACAACATGTGCAAGGGTCCAAAGCAGAAAGAGAGCCTGGCACACATCAGAAACTGCAAATACATTAGTATTGACAGAACAAAGCCTGTGAGACCACAGCATGGTCTTGCTGCTAGGACGAGGAGTCTTGACTTGCTGATGGAGGCAATGGGGAGCCACTGAAGGATTTTTATGCAGATGAATGACATGCACTAGTCCAAGAGAGAAATGAGGAGACCTGGTTGAAGGGGTAACAATGGATACAGGCAGGAAGAATATTCGTAAGTTATATTTGGGAAGCAAAATAATAGAGTGGAGGAATGTAACCAACAATTATTCAGCAGTATCAGGGGCTTTGTTTTTGTTTTAATTTACTTTTATTTACATTACTGTTAATCCTTAAACAGTCCTATACGATAGGAATTATTCTTCCCATTTTATGAACAAAGAAATTAAAAAATGCAACTAGGAAGTGGTAGAAGGAAGATTTGAATATAGACCGTTCTGATTTCAAAGCCCTTGGATGTTGGTTATAGCTGTTTTATAAAATATACTTTTTATATTTCCTGATTTAAAAGCCCTTAGTGGTGTTTTTTTTTGTTTGTTTTTGTTTTGTTTTGTTTTTTAAACAGACATTTCTTTTTAGTGCTGAATAGTAGTCCATTGTCTAGATGTGCCACAGTTTGAGGACATCTTGATGCTTCCAGTTATTGGCAATTATGAATAAAGCTGCTATAAATATTCATGTATAGTTTTTGTGTAGATGTAAGTTTTCAGTTCCACTGGGTAAACACTTAGGAGGGTGACTGCTAGAACATATGGTCATATTATGCTTCACTTCGTAAGCTGCTGTCAAACTGTGCTCCAAAGTGGCCAAACCATTATGCATTTCCACCAGCAGTTAATGAGAGTTCCTACTGCTCCACATCCTTGTCAGCATTTGAGACTGTCAGGTTTTTGTTTTGTTTTGTTTTGAGTCATTCTAATAGGTGTGATAGTATTTCACTGTTGTTTTAATTTGCATTTCCTTAATGACATATAACACAAGCATCTTTTCATATGCTTATTTTCCATCTGCGTATCTTTTTTGACCATCTGGAAAGGGTGTCTTTTTGGTTCTTTTGCCCATTTTTTAAATTGGGTTGGTTGTTTTCTTAATGTTGAGTTTTAAGAGTTCTCTGTATATTCTGAATACAAGTCCTTAATCAGGTATGCATTTGCAATTTTTTCCCCCGTTTGTGGCTTGTTTTTTCATTCACTTAACGGTGAACTTCACAGAGTACAAGTTTTAGAGTTTAATAAAATCAACTTATTGATTTTTCTTTCCTGAATTGTGCTTTTGGTTTTGTATCTAAAAACTCATTACCAAACCCAAAGTCACATAAATTTTCTATGTTACCTTCCAGAAGTTTATTATAGTTTCAGGTTTTACATTTAGTCTATTTAGGTTCCATTTTGAGTTAATTTTTGTGAAAGGTACAAGGTGAATGATTAATTTGTACATACAGATATCTAATTATTCCAGTATCATTTGTTTAAAAAATTATCCTTTTTTCCATTGAATTGCCTTTGCTCCTGTGTCTGAGATCAACAGACTATATTTGTGTGGGTAAATTTATGCAATCTCTATCCTATTCTATTGATCTATTTGTCCATTCTTTTGCCAATACCATGCTATCTTGATTGTATCTTGATAGCTTTATTGTAGGTCTGGAGTCAGGTACTGTCAATCCTCCAACTTTCTTCTTCATCGTCAGTAGATTCTGGGTCTTCTGCCTTTCCACATAAACTTTAACATAAGTTTGTTGATATTCATAAAATTACTTGCTGCAATTTTGATTCTGATTACATCGAATGTATAGATCAAGTAGAGAACTGACATCTTAATAATATTGAGGCTGGGCACAGTGGCTCACACCTGTAATCCTAGCACTTTGGGAGGCCAAAGCAGGAGGACTGCTTGATCCCAGGAGTTTGACACCAGCCCCAACAACATAGCAAGACCCTCACTCTACAAAATAAAAATAAATAAATAATAAATAAATTAGCTGGGTGTGGTAGCACATGCCTGTAGTCCCAGCTACTTGAGAGGCTGAGGTAGGAGGACCACTTGAGCCTGGGAGGTCAAGGCAGCAGTGAGCCGTGGTTGCACCGCTACACTCCAGTCTGGGCAACCCTGTTTCCAAAAAACCCCAAAACCCAATACTGAGTCCTTCTATCAAAATGTGGAATATCCATTTATCTAGATTTATGTGATGTCTTTCATTAGAGTTTTGTAGTTTTCTTCATTCATATATGAATCTGTGCACAAACACATTCACACATATTTCATCAGATTTATCCCTAAGTATTTCCTTTTTTTGGCACTAATGTAAACAACACCGTGTTTTAAATTTTAAATTCCAACTGCTTCTTGCTGGTATATAGAAAAGCAAATGCCTTTTGTATGTTAACCTCACAGCCTGAAAACTTGCCTTAATTGCTCATTAGTTCCAGAATGTTTTTGCCAATCTTTGGGATTTTCTACATAGACAATCATGTCATCTGTGAACAGCGTCAGTTTTATTTCTTCCTTCCCAATCTGTATGCCTTTTATTTCCTTTTCTTGTCTTACTGTGTTAGTGAAGACTTTAGTATAATGTTGAACAGGAGTGGTGCGGGGGGACATCCTTGGTTTTTTCTCAATCTTAGGGGAAAAGAATCCAGTTTCTCATCACTAAGCAAGATGTTAGCTATAGGTTTTTTGATCAAATTGAAGAAGTTCCCCTCTACTCATAGTCTGCTGATAACTTTTTAAAAAATCATGAATAGGTATTGGGTTGTATCAAATGGTTTTTTTACATCTATGGATATACGATTTTTCTTCTTTAGCCTGTTGATGTCACGGAATATGCATTAATTAATTTTTGAAAGCTGAACCAGCCTTGCATACCTGGAATAAATCCCACTTGGCTGCAACATGTAATTCTTTTTATACATTGCTGAATTCAATTTGCTAATAATTTTGTTGAGGATTTCTGGAGCATGTTCATCAGAGATATTGGTCTGTAGTTTTCCTCTCTCACAATATCTTTATTTGGGTAATAGGGTAATGTCTAGGCTAATGTTGGACGCATAGAATGAGTTAGAAAGCGTTCTTACTGCTTTGATTTTCTGGAAGACATTGTAGAGAACTGGTACCATTTGGTATCATTTTTTCCCTTAAATTTTGATAGAATCCACCAGTAAAACCATCTGAGACTCTTGTTTCTGTTTTGGAAAGTTATTAATTAGTGATTTAATTTCTTTAGTTGGTATAAATTTATTCAGATTGTCTATTTCTCCCTGTGTCAGTTTTGGTGGTTTCTGTCTTTTAAGGAATCAGTCCATTTCAACTAAGTTACCAGATTTGTGAGTACAGAGTTGTTCACAATGTTCTTTTATTATCCTTTTTCTTTTGTTTTGAGACAGGGTCTCACTCTGTTGCCCAGGCTGGAGCGCAGTGGTGTGATCACAGCTCACTGCAGCCTTGACCTCTCAGGCTCAAGTGATACTCCCATCTCAACCTACTAAGTAGCTGGGATTGCAGGCACAACCGGCTGATTTTGTTTTTTTGAAGAGACGAGGTCTCCCTACGTTGCCCAAGCTGGTCTTAAGTTCCTGGGCTCAAGCGATCCTCCTGCCTCAGCCTTCCAAAGTGCTGGGACTATAGGGTGAACCACCTCACCCAGCCCATTATTTTTTTAATATCTATGGATTAGTAGTGATGATCCTATGTTCACTTCTCATATTAGTAATTTATATCTTCTCTTTCTCTCTTTTTGGCTAGAGGTTTATCAATTTTATAGATATTTGCAAAGAACTAGCTTTTGTTTTGTTGATTTTCTCTGTTGATTTCTACTCTGTACTTCTACTATAGCCTCCTAAGTACCCTCTCCCTTTCCATTCTTGCCCGCTCTAATCAAATTACCTTCTTGCGGCCAAAGACATCTTCCTAAGGGTCAAAACTGATTATGTCACTACTCATCTGCTTAAAACTCTTCAAGGCATCTTTTGCCCTTGAGATGAAGCCCAAATTTCTCCTTGTTATCTCTAAAGCCCCACATAATTTGGTCTCTGCCCATTCCTCCAGACTTCTCAAGTTCCACCCTCAGGTCTCCTGGAGTTTGGCAGCATAGAAAAGACAAATATTACATCTTTACACATATATTTATTTCAATTATAGATAAGGACAAGATAAATTAGTCAATATAATGTATAGGAAGTTCTTCAATTGGCTGAGATTTTAAAAGACCATTAAGAAAAACTAGAGAAAAAATTGGTAACCAAAAACTAATATAAAATGGATTTCTGAAAATAGTGTCTAGAGATCTATAGCCCATAATGAAAGTTTGAAAAAATTACAGAAACATCCAAACATTTTTTTTCATTGTAAGGGTGTAATAAAAACAATATTTTGAATCAAAAGAAAAGAAAGTAGCTGCAACTGCACTACCCTAACATAACTATTATGATATTCTGCAGTAGTTGTTATATTATATTCCGATATGATTATAGTGACAAGCCTGAGGTCACTTCATGGTTCTTGACGCTGGCACATTAGAATCGTCTGAGAGAATGTTCAAACATAAAGGTACCTGAGCCCCAATTCCTGATCAACTAAATAAGAATCTCTGGGTAGCGAGGTCTTAGTTATGAATCATCACACATAGACATACTCCTTTGTACAGACAGATTTATTCTTGGTATCAATTATCTAGGGAAGTGGAGACTTCCTCAGACAGGAAACAGAATCTTTTATTAAAGCAGTGGTTCTCAATTTGGCTGCATATTAGACTCACCTGGGCAGCTTTAAAAATCCTAATGCAAAGGCTGTGTCCTCGCTCAATGGCTTCAAAATCTCTAGAGGATGGGATGCAGGCATCAGTAATTTTTTAGGCTCTCTAGGTGATTCCAATCTGCAGTCAAGGTCAAAAACCACTGTGCAGAGAGAGTCCTCGGTAAGCTGCAAAGTGGGAATTTGGCTCTTTCGGTCTTGATCACATAGCTCAAGATGTCTAGGAGAAAGTCTTTGAACAGTGGGCTGTGAAAAAGGCTAGATGTCATGAAGCAAGGAAGCTAGCCAAATCCTGCAATGCCGTGCTCTCCTGTTGTGAAGTAAGTATGGCCCTGGCTTGTGCTAGCTATAGAAGAGACAGAATCATTTTGGAAACCAGACTACTCCTTTGGATTTCTTGTCCTCTCAAGGTGAATTTCTCTGTTGTCCTCTTTTAATCTTTAGTGAAATATTTTTAGCTTTGCTTAAAGGAGCCAAAAGAAAGTGTCCCCCCACCATACACACCCCCCTTTCCTCTTTTTTTTTTTTTTTTTAAGGCATTAAACAGAAGCTGGCCCTCTGAAGTCAGCATGATGGTGGCAGAAGTTCTTCAAGTGACAGTCTCTCCAGGAGATGGGGAAAGTCAGGGTTAGATAAAGGAAGGGGCCACCTGACAGTCCTCACCACTGTACCCCTCTCCCTAAAAATCTTCTAATAACAATACTTGAAAGATCTGGATTTTGTTATTAAAGGTGGCTCTATTCTCTCTTACTCATACCCTCTTCCTACTGTCCTTGATTGACTGAACAAATATTTATTGATACTTACTATGCACATAAACACTGTACTAGGCATTGTGAATATATCTGTGAGCAGAACATTCCTACTTCTTGCCCTTACAAAGCTTCTGGTATATAGTTAAAACGTAGGATCAAACTGACTGTGAATTTGGAAAAACAGAAAGCTATGTTGAATAGTGAGAAAAGTAAAAAAGTTTGGAGGCAGGCAGAGAAGGGTTCAAATACTGGCTTGATCACATTTAGTTCTGTGAACACAAGTAAATTACTTATTCCTTCTTAGTCATTTTCACATTTGTTAAAATGCATTTAAATACCGTCTACTTCATAGAGTTGTCCACCATTTATCCACGCAACAAATATTTATTAATTGATCAACAAGTAATACAGTAGACACTGGTTTTGCTGCTAGAAAATGTAGGGAACAAAATAGAGAAACTATTTTTTTCTATTTCTATTTTTCATCTACTCTAGTAGATGGAGACAGACAATAAACAAGTAAAAACATATGCAGCATCTGAGAGTGATAGACACCCTGGAGAAAATGACATAGTAAAGGGGAACAGGGAATGCCAATAGGGGATGGGGCTATGATTTTAAATGGGATGGGTAAGGGAGATTTTATTAAGAAGGTAACATTTGAACTACGTTCTAAAAAGGTAAGGGAGTGCACAATCTCTGCAGGTATCTGGGGAAGAGTGTTCCAGACAAGGGAATGATCAAATGCCAAGAGTCTTGAGGCGGGAACAGGCCTGGAGTATCCAAATCACAGCAAGGAGCCCAGGATAAAACAATAAATCAGGAGACCAACAAGAAACCAAGGTGTAGACCATGTAGGGCCTTGGTGAGCACTGTAAAGGTTCTGGCTGTCATTCTACAAGAAATGGGGAGCCATTGGGGAGTTCTGATCACAGGAGTAATAAGACCTGTCTTGTATTTTAATAGGATCACTTTGGCTTCAGTGTGGAAACAGACCACAGAGAAGCAAGCATAAAATCTGGAAGACTAGTTAGGAGTGCAAAAGTTCATTGGGAGGTGGTGGTTTGGACAGAGTGATGATATAGAGGTAGTGAGAAGTGGTTGGATCTGAGGGTATTTAAGGTAAAGCTAATAGGGTTTACTGATTATCAGATTTGAGTGTCAAAGAAATGATGCTACAGCATTTGATGTGAGCAATGGAAGGATGTAGTTAGCTGCCATTTCCTGGGGTAGAAAAGGCTGGAGTTTGGTTCTGGACATGTTAAGTGTGAGATGCCTAATACACATCCGAATGAAGGAGGCAATTGGGTAAATGAGTCTGGAGTGTGCGGAAAGAGAACTGGGCTTGATATAAATGTAGGCGTCATCAGCATATAGATTACATTTAAAGCCTTGATACTGGATGAGATTAAGCAAATGTTGCGGGAAAAGGTAACATAGAAAGTACCTAGTGCACCACTGGGCATACAGTAGGTGCTCAATAAATGCTTTCCCCTTGAAGCCCTAGAGAACTTGACAGGCTGTTTTAGAAGCGTAAAACTCACCTCAGGCTATATTTAGACTGCTCCATGTTTATCCACTATTACAAATGACCTGGTTTTCACAAGGCTCTGGGGATTAAGAGTTGTTTGCTTTCATTTTCATATTTTTGTGTCTTCACATGGAATTCCTTATGAAATTAGACTGAGCATTAAAGTCCCCATGCTCTTGCCCACAGGACAACTGTAAAACACCACACTGTGGCAGCTGACAGAGCTTTCCCAGAGCACAGAGCACTTGCCCACACCCAGCAGAAACAGATGAAACTTCCATTTAATTAAATCTGCTCCCAGAAGGCCCACATCGGCTCAGGAAACTCACACCTGGACACCGGGATCTGGCTCCTTCAAGAAATCCAGATGGCTCATCTCTCTCTTGGACTAACGGGCACATTCCTGGCTCATTGTGTTATATTCCTTATAATGGAGACTGAGATTTCCTTAGGGTTCTTTCTGGAATGCTCTGCCTATCTTCCTTTGACTCTTTGCTCAAATGCTACCTTCTCAATGAGTTTTACTTTGACTGTCTCATTGAAACCTGCAATCTCTTCAACAGCATTCCCTTGTCTTGCTCTATTTTCTTTCACAGCACTTATCACCTTCCAAAATCCTAAAAACTTTATTTATAACATTTTTGTTTATTGATTGTCTTGTTCACTGGTATATCCCCAGAGCACAGAATATTGCCTGATACATATTAATTGCTCAACAAATCTGTTGATTGAATGAGAGAGTATCCACTTTGTTGTTGAGGCAAGAGCCTTTACCCCTGAGCCTTTTCCCAGGGCCCTCAACTTTGAGCCAGACAACAGTAGACTCCTTTCAGACAGCAGATGTGCCCCCTCAGAGGTATCATTAAATCAGGTTGTGGCTGTCTGCACGTAGCAGCCTGAGTGCCCAACCCCTGGGGAAGACGGGGTCAATTCTCAGGCAACCGCAAGGCTAGTAATGTCACCAGCTCACCAGTCTCACATTCTAGTTATTCCTGTTTCTCTCCAAACCATATTCTCCTCAGTTTTCTTTCCCTCAAGTCACTGCTCTCTGCTTCTTCTTGGTCCAATTTCCTACTTCTCCCCCGGCACAGCCGACACTCTAACTTTCAATTATGTGGCATAAAATTGTGTTCCTTTATATCCTCAAACTCTTCAGCGAATGTTCCTTCCATTTTTGCTTTCATAGAAACCTGGGTCTCTTGGGAAAACACCATTTTTACAGCCCTCTGCAAAGGAGGCTGCTCTTTCATCTATACTCCATGGACCCTGGGATCCACGGTTATCCTCTTTGGAGTCCATTAATGCTTCCAAACCACCAATATGTCACGCTTATTATAAAAAAAGAAACAACCAAAAACTTGTCTGTTGCTCATGCTATCCAGCAATACTACCCTTTACCTTCCCTTCCTGTTCTCAATTGCTTCCTCCCCATTCACTAAGACTTCAGCTTACAGGATAGCCTTTCCAATCAAGCTTATAAGGCTACACCTGTGGCTTAGAAGTTTCTATTTATTCCAATTAGAAAACACATAGCCAGTGCTCAAGAAATATCTGCTAAATGAAAGAGTGAAGAAATGAAATCTGGGGTATGGAGCAGGAGGCAAGCTTAAGTCCAGGTCTCATTTTTCGGCTATATCCCTGCCAGTTTACCAGACACTGATAAGGGCTAACTCTCATCCTTGGTATTACTATTGTCAATGCTTTAACTGAGACTTAGTAGTTAAATAACTCACTCCAGATTAGAGCTAGTAAGATGTGGAACTGGGCCTCAAAACTCCATGTCTGACTCCACAGCTCACATTTTTAACCACCAAAAAGTTCTGCCTTCTTGAACAACAGTTCTTGTAGTAAAAAGACAAGGTTTTGCACATCAGTATTCTGAATAATGTTCACAGCACTAACAAGTGATTTTGTCATGTAGATACAAGCAGAAGGGAATTCTCAAAGAAAATATAAGCCACTCTATTCCAGGAAGACATAATTAAACAAGTACAGTGAAGACAAAAAAAAAATCTAAAATGTCTATTTCCAGGCTTTTGGAATATCACTAGATATAAGGTATTTTAAGAGTATTTCTCCCATTCTGTAGGCTGTCTCTTGATAGTTTCTTTTGCTGTGCAGAAGCTCTTTAATTTGATTAGGTCTCACTTGTCAATTTTTGTTCTTGTTGCAGTTGCTTTCGGGGACTTAGCCATAAATTCTTTGCCAAAGCCAACGATGAGAAGGGTATGTCCTAGGTTTTCTGCTAGGATTTTTATAGTGTGAGGTCTTACATTTAAATCTTTAATCTATCTTAATTTTTATATATGGTGAAATGTAGGGATTCAGTTTCATTCTTCTGCATATAGTTAGCCAGTTATCCCAACACCATTTATTGAATAGGGAGTCCATTCCTTATTGCTTATTTTTGTAGACTTCGTTAAAGATCAGATGGTTGTAGCTGTGTGGCTTTATTTCTGGGTTCTCTATTCTGTTCCACTGGTCTATGTGTCTGTTTCTGCAGCAATATCAAGTTTAGTTCCTATATCCTTATAGTAGAGTTTGAAGTCTAGCAATGTGATACCTCCAGCTCTGTTCTTTTTGCTTAGGATTGCTTTGGCTATTCTGGCTTTTTGGTTACATATACATTTTAGAATGGTTTTCTCTACTTCTATGAAAAATGATGTTGATAGATGCAGCTGTAAGTCATTATCCTAAACAAATTAACACAGAAAAGAAAATGAAATATCACATGTTCTCACTTACAAATGGGAGCTAAATACTGAATACACATGGACATAAAAATAAGAACAGACACTGGGGACTACTAGAGGGGGGAGTGGGCTGAAAAACTACCTGTTGAATACTATGCTCACTACCTGAGTAATGGGACCATTCATACTCCAAACCTCAGCATCACACAATAAACCCATGTAACCAAGCCTGCACATTTACCCCCGAATCCATTTTTTTAAAAGGAGTTTTTCTATGCAATAGGGTTCCAAGAATAGAAAACATCTGGAGTGAGGAGACAATTCTCAAGATAGAGATGTGCTGCATTCTCAATTAAGGGTGAGCCAACCACACTTGTGGGCCAAAGCCAACCTTTCACCTGTTTTTTATATGGCCTGTAAGTTAAGAATGTCTTTTACATTTTTAATAGATGGGGAAAAAAATCAAAAAGCATACTTTTGACACATAAAAGTTATATAAAATTGCCAGGCATGGTGGCTCACACCTGTAATCCCAACACTTTGGGAGGCCAAGGCGGGCGGATCACCTGAGGCCAGGAGCTCAAGACAAGCCTGACCAACATGGAAAAACCCCATCTCTACTAAATATACAAAATTAGTCAGGCGTGATGGCGCATGCCTGTAATCCCAGCTACTCGGGAGGCTGAGGCAGGAGAATCACTTGAACCGGGGAGGTGGAGGTTGCAGTGAGCCGAGATTGCGCCACCGCACTCCAGCCTGGGCAACAAGAATGAAACTCTATCTCAAAAATATACATATATAATGAAAACTTCAGGGTCCATAAATAAAGTTTTATTGAAATATAGCCATACTCATTAATCTATGTACTATCTATGGATGCTTTCAAGTTAAAACAGCAAAGCTGAGTAATTGTGACAGAAAAAATAAGGCCCCAAATTTTAAAATATTTCCCATTTGGCCCTTTGCCAAAAGAGTTTGCCAATCCCTTTTATAAATAATTTCTTCTGTCTTATCTTCCAGTTCACTAACTCTGTCTTCAGTTGTATCTAATCAGCTGCTAACCCCTTTTACTGAGTTTTTAATTTTGGTAATTGTATTTTTTAACTCTACAAGTTCATTGTTTTTTCAAATCTGGTATTTTGCTTTTCATAGTTCCCTATTCTATGCATATAGTTCAGTACTGTCTCTTATTTCTTTAAATATATTTAATTGCTTTATAAATAATGTGTGGTAATTCCAATTTCAGAAATCTTTGTGGATACTCCTCTGTTGCCAGTTGTTTTACATGTTTCTCATAAAACCATGAGAACAAGCTTCAATAGAAGCTTGTTTCCTTGTGTGTTTAGTTATTTTTTACCGTAAGCTGTTCATTTCCTTGAAAAGTTATTTATGAGGAATGCATATGTCTTCCTCTATGAAAAGTCTGCATTTATTTCTGCCAGGTGCTTGGAGGCACTGCCAGTCTGGAATGCCTTAAACTGAATTCATGGCTTGAGGTTCCCTAGATCACCTGAGAACTCTGGCAACAAATACCAAGTGTTTTTGTTCCAGTGCCATGACCTACTCAGTGCTTTGGTAATTGTTCTTGCAGCCTGCTTTGGGGGTGCAGGTTTATTAATAGTTCTAGTTTATCCTTACGCTGGGTCCTTTGGGGTTCTAGTTAATATAAAAGTAATTAAAAGATGAAAAATATGGAAGATAAGTTAATATAATGAGAAGGTCTAAAATTTAACCAGAATTTCAGAAGAGGAGTAGAGAGAGAGTGGGGCAGAGGGAATATTTAAAGAGATAATGGCTGAAATTTTCCCAAAACATATGAAATTCTTATACCCAAGAATCTAAATGAGGCCAGATACTGTGGCTTACACCTGTAATCCTAACACTTCAGGAAGTTAAGGCAGGAGGATCACTTGAGCCCATGAGTACAAGACCAGCCTGGGCAACATAGCAAGAGCCTGTCTGTACCAAAAAAGGGAAGAAGATGACGACGAAGATGAAGAAGAAGAAGGAGAAGAAGGAGAAGGAGAAGGAGGAAGAGGAGGAGGAGGAAGAGGAGGAGGAGAAGGGGGGGAGGAGAAGAGGGGGAGAAGAAGAGTGGGGAGAAGAGAAGGGAGGAGAAGAGGGGGGAGGAGAAGAGAGGGAAGGAGAAAAGGGGGAAGGAGAAGAGGAGGAAGAAGAGGAGGAAGAAGAAGAGGAGGAGGAAGAAGAGGAAGAAGCAGCAGCAGCTAAAAGAATCCCAATCAAGATAAATAAAAAGAAAGCTTTACATTGGCATACTTATTCATACTTTATAGAACACTTTCTTTTATTCTGCATAAAGCCATAGGAAGTAAGTGCTATTATCTACATTTTTCATAAAGGAAAATGGGTTCAGAAAGCTAAAATATAATAATTATCTAAGGTCATGTAATACTATGCAGCAGAGACAGAATTCAAATCCAGTTCCAACTAAAGTTCAGATCCTTTCCTATACTTCAGAAATAGAATATAACACAACTAGAGAGGGACTTGGTAAGGGGTGATCTCAACTTGGCTGAGTAACTGCCCCCACCAAAAACAGAATTCTTAACTTGGAAACTTCTCTCTGGAAGTAGGTGGAAACCTTTCTCAGGTATCTGTGAGACAGGAGAGACAGCACTGGACTTCTGAAGACAGCACTGGACTAGAAAAAGCTTTGCAGCTAGAGGCAGGAAAGTAGCTTGTACCTTAGATTGTGAGTTAAATCAAATGAGGCCAAGCCAATTTACTGTGCTAATGACCAAGTTAACTCACATAGTTCAAAGAACTGGCCTGATATGCAACAGAAAGCTACACAACAGCCTACTCTGCAGGACCCAACTGTCAGGAGAGCAGGGTAGGAATGTCCTCCTCATCCTCCTCCTTTCACTGCTGAAGACAGTTTAAATATTGTAGTATGTCCTAGAGAATATGCCTTTTGTTCATCAGTGTGATTCAACTTGGGAATTACTCTTATCTCTTCCGTTCTGGTGGCATTTCACTTGCTTATGGCTTATACTTGATTTGTTTTTTTCCAGAGTACTAAATTAAGAATTTTCTAAGAGTGAAGCCTATGGCTTTCTACCACAATCAAATACCCCATTCCCTAGATGTTAACATGCGGCTGACATCTCTCTACTAGCCTGGTATACAGAACACACACATTTTCCTTCATAGTTGCCTCCATAATGTGTAAAAGTTGGGAGATTTACAATGCCTGAACTCACAGTATGAGGCATCAGAGCCAAGAAGCCAAATGCCAGACTATTCAGTAGGAAAACCAACCAGCCCCTGATTTGATGTCTTGTATGCAGGTGTGGCCATCATCATCAGACACAACTGTGGAAAAGGCCCTTATGCAACACGGAAAAGGAAAGAGAAACAATTCTGATCCTTCATGATGTCTGCCTGGTAAAGGGCAGGGGACAGAGGTGCACAAAGATGACTAACAATAGAAAGGAATCACAGTAGGTAGTAAGGTGGTTCTGCAAGAATTTATTGAGCATCAGCTATGTGAGCAGGCTTGCAGGGGCATGAACACACGGAGTGGAGAGAGCTGTAACTCAAGGCATGCTTGTCAAATAGGAAAGTACACAGTCATCCTACCATCATCCATCCATCCACCCATCCTTTCATCCATCCATCCATCCATCCATCCATCCATCCATCCATCCATCCATCCATCCAAGTGTTCAGTGTTTAATGGGTACCTGACAAACATACGCCAATACTGTCTAGGTGCTAGAGAGACCAAGAAGACCAGTAGGGAAGGATCCTGGAAGGATTAGATACTTAGTATTTGACAGTCCTCTATGAATTAATCACTTCAATTAAATTCTTACAAAAACCCTGTGGAATAAGTTTATTGTCATCATCTTATAGACGAAACTGAGGCTCAGAGTGGTTAAGTAGCTTGCCCCAAATCACAAAGAGAATAAACGTCAATCTGGGATTTGAACCAAGTTATCTACTAGGCCTAGCTCTGAGCCTGTGCCCTTAAAAAATTAGTAATTATTATGCAATTACAGTATAGTGTGATAATTGTAACAGAGGTAGAAAATTCAAAGGAAGCACAGAGGAAGAGACAATTTTGTGTGGGGAGGAAGTAGTTTTTTTTAGTTTTCCAAGTGAGCTAGCAAGGAAAGAGAATTTCAGGCACAGGTAACAAGCATACACAAAGGTAGAGGGAAAAGGAGGGTTCACCTGTGGCAAGAGTGGCAGGAGTTGAAGCTGGAGAGTAAGATAGGGAGTGATCACAGAAAGCTGTGCATGTTAGGTGCCAGAGCATCTCTGAGAGGTCCCTACCTCCTACTGTGACTCAACTGTCCTCTACCCTGTAGGAGAAGCCTTTCCAGGAGCCTCCTAGTCCTTCCAACTCCTCCTATAATAAGTTGCCTGTGCCAGCCAAATCAAAGGCCTTATGTTTGCACCCATCATCCCACCCTCTGTGGCCACTGCAGACCATAACATGCCCCAAGATTCTGCTGACAGTCTGAGGACAGAGGCCCCAGGGAGTCCCCTAGTCACCAGAAGAATGATGAGAGCTGACCCTTCAAAGTGAGACCCAGCTCTCACAGACCTCTCTGCCACAGAGCCAATGTATCTTCTCATTCTACTCACAGTTTAGAGTCCAGATTCAGGAGGAAGCCCAACCGATCATACTCTGAAAAAGAAAAGCAGAAAATGTCATTTAAGTCAAGTCACTGATGATACTAGCATATTGCATCCCCCAGACCTAGACCATGGGGACAGACAACCCTTGGAAAAGAACATAATTCAACTGCTTCAAAGAATACAACTAAATACATAAACCACAAAACACCAGCTGAACACCTATTTTGTGAAGGACCAAGTTCAATGCCAGGTATTTCCTATGCATTCTAGGGCAGCCAGTCCTATGTTGGTATACAACTGCCTTCCTTCCTGTATAAATGTGGTAACTGGAACTGAAATTTAGTAAACCATGAAACTGGAACCTGGAAAATTAAGAGGCTCAGATGCAATATCTGCTTCCTCTGAGCTCTAAACACAGCATTTGCTGAATCAGTCACCTTAGCCATGGGGTGAGGATGTGGCAGTCAACAGGTCCCCAAATCCATGCCAATTCTCTTCATGGTCATCATAAAGAACCAATACATCAGATTACATAAAGAATAGCAAGTTTACAATAAAATCTAAAGACAAATTGATGTTTCTAACAAGTGATTAATCAGTATTTTAATTTATTTAAGTTCTTTACATCTTGCCTCATTCTAAAATGAGGTTGAAGCAGTTCTATAAAATTGTATGGAGTACAAGATTTTAAAAAGGATAAATCTGGGGGCCAAAGTGGACATAAACTTAGGAAAATGCAGGTGGGGTAAGGAAAATAGTAAAAGTGAATATCCTAGGGCCGTGTGTGCTTGCTGGAGGAAGATTACAGATCTGTCCTCAAGATTTTCCATAGCTAAAACTAAGTGCAAAGCACTGATTTCATGGTTCAGCAGTATCTAGAAAATAAACCAGGAGAATCACAGCTATTCTTGATACTAAGACTTGAGGAAAATTTCCTGTGTCCTCAAAAACATTTGTATAAGGAAAATGATAGGAAGTGTCATGGGATTATTTCTTATGGCTCTGCTCCATAGTTGCAGTATGTGTGTGTGTGCGTGTGTGTGTGTGTGTGTGTGTGTGTGTGTGTGTGTGTGTCTAGCCAAAATAAGGTGGCCTATGAATGCAGTTCTTAGCTGGCCTGGCTCAGTCTGAGGGTAAAACAGAATACCAAAATACTGGATGGAAAAGGCCAGGCAGCAAAGCTTTCGAGGAACTCAGGCTTTAATAAGCAGTGAACAGCAAAAAGAGGGAAGTCACACACGCTGACAAGTACCTCCCAGGAGTCGTTCTGCAAGGCCAATTAAGGCCAGACTCATTGCTTTCAAAATCATCTGAGCTGTGGAGAGAGAATAAATCCTCTTCTTAAAATTGAAGCTACCAGCTAGGACACACAACTCAACACAAGGCTTACCTCCCAAGAGAATGGCCTTGAGCAAGTGAAAGCCTTTCCTCAAAATAATTCTGGTTTTGCTCTAACGCAGGCAAATGGATGAAAGACTTGCCTTAACATATCAAGAACTTACAAACATTGGTAAGAAAAACAAAAAAAGACTGAAATATAAAATAAAACTAAAAATACAATTTGCAGAGAGTTAGTGTCAAAGTTAAGTGCCCTCTCAATAATCCTATCTTATCATTCCATAAAAAGGAAGCCTTATCAACTTGCCAAATACCCGTTACTTTTTCCCTGTGTGGTGACAACCCTGGGGGAAGTCTCGTGCTGTTGCTCCTCAGACCTGAGCTAAGACTCCCTTAGACAATGAATCCATACTTATGCGGATTCCTTCAAGAGAGGCCAGAGAATGTTTCCCTCATTGTTGCAAATTCAAATGTCAGGGGCCAAGCAAGAGCATAACACAAATGAGGGAAGTGGGAGAATGTAATACTCTTATACAGCAGCTCACACTACTTATTTTAGTTGCATTAAAAAACAAATCCTGTTGGAATGTCTTTTTTTTTTCAATTCACTGTTTTTCCTCCCATATATTTTCTGTATAGTAAAAATAATTATATCTGTGGTTTATTATTTGCCAATGGCATCTTAGTTTTGTTTTGTTTTACACACACACGCACACACACACTGCATATTACAATTCTAAGAACTCTGCATTTCTAAAGCAAGTTTGTCCCTTCATGTCTCTCCTGGTCTATCTATTGTTTTCTCTCTTTCATTAAGAGATATGAGGGCAGGACACAGTGGCTCACACCTGTAATCCTAGCACTTTGGGAGACCAAGCTGGGAGGGTTGTTTTGAGTTCAGGAGTTTGAGATAAGCCTGGGTAGCATAGTGAGCCCTCATCTATTCAAACAAATTTTTAAAAATTAGCTGAGCATGCTGGTGCACACCTGTAGTACCAGCTACTCCAGAGGCTGAGGTAGGAGGATGGCGTGAGCCTGGGAGATCGAGGCTGCAGTGAGCTGTGATCACGCCACTGCACCCTAGCCTGGGCAACACGGTGAAGGATCACTGTACCCCCCACAGCCCTCAGAAAAGAGACAGGAGTACCAGAATAATTTAAGGAAAGGTAATTGTGAGCCCACTGATGATAAATGGCAGCTCACCCGTGGCTCTAGCGTCAAAGCCCAGAGGGAACTCAGTCCATCTGGAGAGTGTGTGCCCTGCTGAAGGGTGGCTCCCACTAGTTCCTGCTAACTATGCCAGGCAGCAACTCAGGCCCCGCATTACCACATCTTTTGATTTTTTTCAAGGCAGGAATCTGGATTTTTAAGGTAAAATTTCTAAGTTTATAAACATTGGCAAATGGATTCAAGAAAAATGTAAAGATTATGTGGACTGACAACTCATGAGGGCTGTGGCTGCCCACAGTAGATGCTCAATAAATATCTGTTGACTATTATCAGGATTATTTGGTCACAACAGTCACAAGTCCAAATCAAATTAGGGTAACAGGATGCTCGAAATAAAATTTTAGCCAGGCCTATAAGGTGATACATTTCAGACACCACAGTGAAGTGCTAGACTAAGACGCAGATTTTCAAAGGAAATCTCTTAATACATATCACGTAATTCTAAAGGCCTTCCCTACATCAAATATAAATAGCAATCAGTTGCTAGAGATGAAGGGAGAGAGGATTTGAAAAATGTCTTTGTGGGGAGCTGTTATGAACAGGGCAGGCGGGGTACTTGTCTCTCACTCCAGCCTCTGAAGGACGCCTAACATGGCCTTAAGGTTTAGAGAACACAGTGGGTAGCCTGGGGCCCACCTCCTACCCAACAAGTCTAGAGGACACAAAGGGCAATGGGTGGGCTGCTGCAGGAGAGCACTGCATGGGGATTGGCCTGCATTCCCAGAATCTGTGGCAAAAACTAATGCATGAAGGAGTTGGTGTGGGCTCATTTCAGGTCCTTTCCAGAAGATCTGCCTGGAGGGTTGACCGGCCCTCGGCCAAGAGAAGCAGCCGGTAGATGCTGGGATTCCCAGGAGCTACAGAAGTGAGGAGCAAGGCGGAGACATGGGCATTACCCACACCAGGGTAACCACGGGAAGAGGCCCCTAAGACGGAAAGGGGTCATCAGGATACTCACAAAAGCACCCCATCAGAGTCAGCTTTAACTACTTGTCAGGTCCAGAGAGTGCAAACACTCTAGGTCTTTACTGCTCATTCTCTCTCACTCCCACAGCAATCCTGGATATGTCAGAGGCATATGGGAGAGGAGGGAAGAGGAAAGACAAGCAGGGCATGCCCTTTCCCCACCTGGCACCTGCCAGCACTAAGCCCTATTGCGGGGAAGGGAGCAACTGCAGCTTTTATGAATTGAAAGCTGTGACTGTTACACAAGATGGGACCCTCTAAGTTTGGAAATGGCAACTCACTGCGACTATGGAATTCTTATTACTTCAGATGTATTAAAGACATGAAAACATTTTAAGGGAACAGTAGGAAACAAAATGAAGGTGTCTGTGATGATCCCTCGACATTTCTTGCATGCTCAACATACTGGTTGCACTAACTCAGGTGAACAGGGTGATTTAGTGGTTCACATAACCAAAACGTAGGAAGGGCCAGAGTGCGGAGGGTCTCAGGGGTGACCAAGAGTGACTGGAATAGAGGGAGGCCATCGGGGAGGCCATCGGGCCTCCCTCTATTGTCTGTACTCTCCCCTGGTGAGCTTTCTTCGTGAGTGAGGCAACATGGCCACCAGCAACCTGTAGGCAAACATCTTCCGCTTTGCCACTGGCAAGGGATTGCATTAGGCCCTCTGCTCCCAAGGGCAAAACTCCTGGGGAAAGGCTAGGGCTGGTGGAGCGTGCACCAGCACTTCGTTCTGTTCTAGTCACAGAGACTGAGGAGACGGGGTTTGTGGAAAATGATGACTCCCATGTGATACACATGGTTACAAGGAGCATTACCAGAAGAAATGTGTTGTACTGAACAAATAAAGTCCCCTTGCAAACAATAGGAATAATCTTTGAAAACTAAAGAGCTAGCTAAATCTCGGAGTTTAGATTTAGCTGTAAATCTCAGAGCCAGTTACAATGAGCCATGGACCCCATTTCTCTCATCCTCGGTCCTCTGACAACCCTTCTCATAATGCCCTCTGACTCACGATTTCAACCACCTGGCTCACCCCACTCTACCTCCTGCCACAACTGAAGCCTGGCAGACCCTACAAAGCTTTTCTTGAGGCTCTCCAGGGGACGCTGCTTTTCCTCTCCTCTGCCAAGCACCTGTGGGAATGAGAGGGGAGTGCTTATGACATACTTTGCAGCGATTTTCATCATCTTTCCTGTGTTTGGCATCCTTGGGGCTCTTGGATCTGTGGGTTTTAATCACATTTGAAAAAAATTTGGTTCTTATTTCTTCAAATATTTTTCTGCCCTCCTTTTTCTTTTAGGGGCTCCAATAACACGTGTGTTAGGGCTGCTTGAAGTCCCATAGCTCACCAGTGGTCTGTTCATTTTTTTTCCCCAGTAATGTTTCACTCTATGTGTCTTTTCTTTTTCTTTTTTAAGACAGGGTCTCGCTCTGTGGCCCAGGTTGGAGTACAGTGGTGCAATCCTGGCTCACTGTAACCTCCACCTCCGGGGTTCAATCAATTCTCCTGCC